TCTAGAGCTGTGATGTACACTACACCACCAGGTAAACACTAGTGAGATGGATGTTTTAATGTTCCTGTTTTGACCCAGATCTTCTTCTCTGTCGTCTCCTCAGGATATGGAGCTTTCATGCACCCTCTAGGATCAGTCTTCCTCCAGACTTTCTGCACTTTATTAAAGCAGGAAGACAATCGTAACCTTGAGCTGACCCGCCTGATGACCCGCCTCTCCCACACTGTGGCCTACAGCTTCCAGGCCAAAGGTGGCGCGTTGGCTGGGAAGAAGGAGATGCCGTGCTTCCTGACCCGATTGACCAGAGAAGTGTTCCCGTTTGCTGAGCCGGGGCTCTCGGCCACCTCGCTGGTCGCCACTGACGAGTCAACACCGACTCCTTCTATCAGTTAGACTGGAGATCAGTTGCCTAAAAACAGCTGATGGAAAGTCTGACGTCCTGTAGAAAGTCCAAAGATATCAATCAAGGATATGTCTGCTGAAATATTCTGCATATGCTGGACAGACTCTGGAGTAGATGTCAAATATTTATATGTGAAATATATACCTATGTATATAAACTAACAAAGATTTATGTTTATTGTTTGACTTCCGTATTTCTATCCATATGTACTAATCAATTACGTACCGATCTCCAAACTCTATCAAAGATCTTGTGTAGAAACAATGAACTGCTCTCCTGAGGTAACAAACCATCAAGTTCCGCTTTCAACACAGTGGATCAAAGTACTTTCATTTCATATCTAAAAGTCTTTATTGGTCGTCTCTGACTCGGTTCTCTGGTGGTTCATCTCCAACCTGTCAGACTGTTTACAGTCTCTCTTGGTAACGCATCTACTGCCACTATGAACTCTGGAGTACTTCAAAGCTCGGTCTTCTTCTTTTCTGTATTAATATGCTTCCAGTAGCAGATTCATTCACAATCAAAAGATCTCATTCTATGAAACCACGATCCCCAACAGACTCCTTTAAAAACCTGAAGGATATCAAATATATTTGGGTCACTGGAGACGTCAGTCTTTAGTGACACATTTGCTAATATTCTGTAAAGACTAATATAAATATTTAGGAGTTCTCTTCAATTCCAATGTAACTTTTGATCATCATGTGAAGATGAATTTTTTTAATCAACTTTGGATGGTTTCAAAAATTAGATCACTTCTATCCTCGGAGAACTTCATTCAAGCGTTTATATTATGAAGAATCAACTATTGTAATTCACTCTTTACCTTTTTTAAACAATTAAGCATGTTCACACCTTCAAGTTTTCTTCCAGGTTAAACTTCAGGATTTATCCGGAACAAATTTAGATTTTAGAGTTGCTTTCAGTGCAGCATCACGTCCTCGAAGGACCGAGTTAGGACGACGTCTTCCTTTCGGTTTCTCTTTGGGAAGACGTCTGGAAACCTGACACTCATCTTCATCATCACCACACAGGAAGAACTGCTGAACTCAGTGAATATTTATTAACACAGAAGAGGAACCAGAAAATAGATTTACACTCATTACAACCAGGTGAAAAACAGCTTTTTGAAACAAATCCCGGTGCCAAACGTCCCGTTACAACAAGTTCATTCATAGAAAGTCATTAGAAAAAGTGACAGTTTGCAAAAAAATACAGTTTCATGAAGTTAGACGCAGTCAAATATTGACCAATTATTTATCCTTTTCATACTAATATAAAATGTTATACATCTATAAAAAAGTTTAAAAAAGAAAGCTTATTTACAGCATTAAAAAAGTTGTTTTTAATTATTTGAAGGTTCACAGAATGAAATCATCTGCTCACAGCTGATTGGTTCTCCTGCGTGAGAACAGCTGTGAATGAGTTAAGGCACCGTGAGAGCTCGCGGCTGATTGGTGAGCGGAGGTAGGAGGCGGGACGAGGAAGGTCGGAGGAGGGGGTGAACACCTGGAAGGAGCCATGTGAGGTGAGGAGATGGGGGTGTCGCAGGAGGAGGTGGGTGTGGAGGGTCCTGGTGTGACGGTGCTGCGGCTCAGAGGGTGGGGGGTCCGGTGAGGTTTGGTGGTGAGGGACAGCGGCTGCAGCTGCTCGCCGTACGGTGACACCTGTCCGCCATACGAGTGCGTGTGCTCGGTGTGCGTCGGCGCCGGAGCGGCAGGCGATGCCAGAGAGGTGGTCGGCGTCGCCGGGGAGTCCAGCGAGGAGGCGGGGCTTGCCTGGGACAGGTGTGTGTGTGTCAGGTGGGAGACGGTGTGCGGCTGTGTCAGGTGGGAGCGGGGGTGTGTGTGTGCAGTCTGTGTGAGCAGAGTGTGTGTGTGAGGCGTCTCCTCAGGGGGCACACAAGGTCTCTTCAGCTGAGGGGGGTAGCCTTCTTCATCTGAGGAGGAACACATGAAGTCATCATGAGGAAGTCTTATTCATGAAAACAGTTACTACCTACGAGACAGGTACTCTCTTTGGAGTACTACATGTATTTATGTTTACCATATTAAAGCATCCTCTTACCTTCAAACTGGGTCTCACTCTTCGCCCTCTTCCTCTTCTTCTTTTTACCCTGCACACAAAACAACATGTGACCCCAGCCCAGTGACGGTGTGATGCTGTAAACATGCAACAGTGCTGTAAACATGCAACAGTGCTGTAAAGATGTAACAGTGCTGTAAACATACAACAGTGCTGTAAACTTACAGCAGTGCTGTAAACATGCAACAGTGCTGTAAACATGTAACAGTGCTGTAAACCTGCAGCAGTGCTGTAAACATGCAACAGTGCTGTAAACATGTAACAGTGCTGTAAACATGCAACAGTGCTGTAAACATGTAACAGTGCTGTAAACCTACAGCAGTGCTGTAAACCTACAGCAGTGCTGTAAACATGCAACAGTGCTGTAAACATGCAACAGTGCTGTAAACATACAACAGTGCTGTAAACATACAGCATCTGCTGTAAACATGCAACAGTGCTGTAAACATGCAACAGTGCTGTAAACATGCAACAGTGCTGTAAACATATACTCACATAGTTATCTCTGGCTGACCAGCTGGGGTAAAGTTTGGAGTGAAGGAGTCTCTCTTTACGAGCCAGTTCGTAATATTTGGCTTGTTCATCTTTGGACAGAGAATGCCACTGTGGACAAGAAACATCTCAGTCAGTTACTAACTAACAAACACACACATGATCACACACACACACACATGATCACACACACACACACCCTCTGTCCCAGTATCTGGTTGATGGTGGCGCTCTCCTTCACTTTGCACTGAGACACTACTTTAGGTCTCTCCTCTCTCATGTAGAGCATGAAGGCGTTCAGCGGCTTCTTGATGTGCGGCTTCTTCTCGTCTTCTTTGTCCTGCTGGACATCTGACGTGGACCTTCTACAGGAACAGGTTAGCATGATAACACAATATATTGTATAATAATAATAATATCATTGTAATATTGATGAGCTGAGTAACAGAACCAGGTGTTGGTACCCCGGCTGGCTGCTGCCTCCAGGCTCCTGCTTCACGGATGTCTGGGGGGTTGGCACCAGATGTGGAGAGAAGTTACCAGACACCAGGCTGCACACCAAACACAGGTCAAACGTCAACGTTTCCTATTCCTTTCAAAAACAAAAGCTTAAGGGTTCTGGTGGGTTACCTGGACATGGAGGCGTTCATAGCCAGAGCAGCAGGGGAGAAGCCTCCTCCCAGAGGGTACATGGTCTGTCCCTGTCTACATGGACACACAGACAGACTGTCAAACACCTACAGACATGTCGGTCCACACTGTGATGAAGACTTTACTCACAGCCATCCTAGAGGGTGAGGGATCTGAGCCATGCCTCCAGGAGACACCGGGTAGCAGGGGGTCCTCGACATACCTGCTCAGGTGAGATTCACACAGAATGTCAGTGATATTCCAGGTGGATCTGGTCGTGTTTGTCACAATGAATGAGAGACTCACCTGCATCAGGAGAGAAGCCAGGTGAGGCCCTCTGGGGGGAGAAGGCCTCGGGGCTGTAGGACAGCAGAGGGTGGAGGTGAGTCATGTGAGGATGCTGCACCACCTGTACGTTGTTAGACTGGAGACATAAACACAAAGACACGTCATCATCTGTCCACCAGGTGTCAGCGTTCTCCTTTAACTTTGAATACGTGTGAGTCACTTTATTAACAGACAGGAAGTCAGAGAGCAGACCAATGGAACCACAGAACCCACCTCCTCTTTAAATAGCTACATAAACACAGTATATTCTGTGTATAGTTATGTGTAACAGTGTATCAGTATATTCTGTGTGTAGTGATGAAGAATACACATTGGGGCCAGACTTCCTATCCAAATGACGCCTCGGTGCTACTTCAGGCCCCTGCTGTGTCGACCCTGTGTCTGAATGCGAATGCCCCCCTTCCTGCCCTTTGTCATAGTCCCCCCTTACCTCTGTCTTCTAGTATTTACATACAGTCTAACCACTGCTCTGGCTCACTGTATAAAATGCTTCTTTCTTCATTTGTTCAGGGTCAACCCACCGGCACAGATCTGCTCTGTGTCTGTGAGGTCACTAGTTTCCCGGCATGCTATAATAAACTCACAACACCACAGCAACTTATGAACTGGACTTGAATGATTTCTTCAACAATAGTTATATGTAACAGTGTATCAGTATATTCTCATTTTAGTTTTTACAAATTAATTTGTTAAGGAAGTAAAAATATTGGAGGAAGTCCAGAAGTTAAACTGATAACATTCACTTCATTCTTCATTTCTTCCTGTCAGGAGTCACGAGACGTTTATCTGTCAGATCAGAAGTAATGATCTGTATCACAACATGCCGGTCCTCATCAGAGACCAGGACCAGAGGTGAAGGAGCCGGTCCT